GACTCCACAGAGTGATAGGAAAGAGCTTGGCTTGCTGGTACAGCTAGCTGCGCAGTGCTTGCGCATCTCTAGTCTTTGCTGATCTTCGCTTCCCTGAGAGGCACAGCCAAGAACTTCTTCTGGTGTCCCTCCAGGTCCTTCTTGCTGACTCGAGCCGAGGTTGAGGCCTGGCTGTCTCTGCTAGGTTATGTCACCACTGTTGCTAATACCAAATTGGACTGCTGGTGTATCTGTGACATGTTTTCGAGTGGATTGAGCTGCCACTGCTAACCTGTGAACTGAACTGCCAATTTCCAGACAACACAGAAAGGAGTTGCTCTAAAGAACCTTTCTAAACATGTCCATTTCCCCTGTATCCCTTCTTTTAAACTACCTTTGGTGGGTAGTGGGATAAAGGGAGGTTAAAGTGTTTAAGAATCATTATTAAAAATAGGATTAAAAACAATAAAGTTACACATGGTATCAACACAGAAAAAAACATGGATGTGTCGAAAATTTGACAAGTGATTATGGCTTGAGTTTGTGTAACAGAGAGGAAGGGAGGGGGAGGGGGCAGGGGATGAGGATGGACATAAAGTTGAAGAACATCAGGGTGATAATTTGCTTTCCTTGGCACTTCAGGATTTTATTAAGAGATTGAAAACAGAACAGGAAGAAGGGAGCATTTAGCATTTCAAGAGTGAGAGCATCACCCCAGGCTCTTGGTGACTCTCTGATCTATCTTTGCCAGACAGTTTACAATATCGTCTGTTCTTCCCCATTTCCTATATGTAGACATCTTGTTTCCTTTTCTTGAGTGCCCATTTTATTTGGTGGTTTGTTTTTCTAAGATAGGGTCTAGTCTCACTATATATCCTAAGCCAGTCTTGAACTTATGGTACTCTGGCCTTCAGTCCCTGATGTTCAGGTTATTGGCATGAGCTCCCAGGCTCGGGGCTATTCCCCTCTTCTGTCACTGACATTTTTATATTTACAAGTCTTTAAGTTTTTGAAAAACAAAGAGGATCTGTGAGTCCATTTTGTTCTTTCCAATGTTATTAGCATCTAGCCCAACACAGTCTATGGCATAATGCATATTTGGTAAGCATTTTAAATGAAAAGATGAAACCAAGTTGTTATGACCCAGATTATCTGGAACTTTCAAACCAGATATAAAGCCCAACTGTTAGAAAATCTAGTCTCAAAGCCATCAAAAAATATTAACATAGTAAACTGAAGGGTAAAGAGGATGCAACAAAGAATAGATATGTTTGTTTAGTCAAATGTAATCAACTTAATGTGGGAGAAATCACAGATTCCGCCAAAATACATGAGGAAACCACTAGGTAATGTCAAAAATGAATTTTCCTTAAATATCTGCTGTGTGCAAGGTGTGGTTAAAACACACAATTTTATCGTATTGAATCTTCATAAAAACATTATTGGATGATTATCAGGATATAGAAATTGTGTTATTACAAGTTAATTATTTTCTTAGGTTGTTAATGTGATAAAGAGGATTGAGTTCAGATTGCAGTCCACCATCCATGATCTCCGTGAAGTCCAAACTCTGTCATCTCTGGCAGCATGTAGTGCCAGCAGGGAACATTGGTCTGCTCCACTGTGTCTGCATCCCAAATATTGCTGTTTTTTTTTAACATATAATATGTACTGAAGAATAATTATTGAGGTAATGACTGGCCTGCGCATTGCCCAGTTGGAAATTCCACATCCTTCCTATGTATTATACTGTATGGACTGAGAAATATTGAAAAGATGATTTCTTGTCCTATCTTGAGATATGTTCTGAAATTCTTATGTCAAGTTGGAAAATGCTTCTCAGTCATTGCTCAGAATCTCTTTTACTGGTAAAATTAATTACTAGCAATTAATTATTTAAAACTGGCCTCTGGTTCAGGCCGACTAAGCTGCAACGGCTCTGCCTAGCTCAGCTGCCATGTTTCTTGGCCTGAGGCCACATGCGCTATAAAGCTAGAACCAGCCCGCCAGAAACACCAGCCCTGCCACCCACTAGATGCCAGCACGAGAGATGGCTCTGCCAATCTTCCACGCTGTCTCCGAAAGGCAGGGCATTGCCCAGACCATTCCACCATCCATGCAGGTAAGTAAGGTAAGTAAGAGAATAAGACTTTAATTCTTATTGATTAATCAAAGGCTTTATATGTTTCATAATGATTAATAACAAGATGCCCATACAAAGAGAGTTGTATCCCAATTAACTAACCTAATTATAAGTTTATAAGTTGTTCCCCACGAGTGCTCTTCATACCTGTGTGGTTCTCCATCCTCCTACATCTCTGCCCTCTCTAGCTCCTCCTCCTCCTTTTTTCTCTTCCTCTCCCAACTCCTCTTCCTCTCCTTACTCCTCCCACCTTAGCTCATCCTACACCTAAGGAGCCTTTAAAAAAAAAGTTTTGGAGAACTTAATATGTGAGCATTGCATCTGTATCATTTCCAAGCTTTCCTCCTGCAACTCTCCTCCCATATCCTCCCTCTCAAATTTGTGACCATATATGTATGCATATTAGTATGCATGTATGTATGAATGTTTGTATGTATGTATTCTTTTGTCAATATGATACAATTGTTATTGTAGAATTATTATTGCTAGAATTATCTTAGAAAACAGACTTTACCTGAGAAAATGTCTCTGTCAGATTAGTCTGTAGGTAAGCCTGATGGACATCTTCTTGATTAACGATTGATGTGGGAGGGCCCAGGTCACAGGGAACAATGCCATCTTGGAAGGTGGTCCTGGAATGTACAATAAAGGAAACTGAGCAAGCCAGTAAGCAGCATTTCTCTGTAGCATCTGCTTCAGTTCTTGCTTTGATTTCTTGCCCCGACTTCCCTCAGCAGTGGACTGTCACCTGGAGGTATAAGACAAAAAAAATCTTTTCCTCCTTCAGGTTATAGTCTTTATCACAGCAACAGAAACCTATGTAGGACACACACACACACACACACACACACACACACACACATGCACACTCACACACACATACACACGCACACATACACACACACACACGCACATCTACATCCTACTGAGTCCACTTTGCATTGCTCCTATGTTCCTATGTCCTGGCATGACCACTGAGGATTGGGCCACCTAGCTGGGAGCTTTTCCCTGGAGGAAACTGATACTCCTTCTTTCAGCATCTGTTGACCACCTGTCTTCATGAATGGTGGGAACCTGTGACCTTTTCCCTGTCCAAGAACACTTTTTTTTCCTTTTTAAACATTTTATTGGTTCGTTGTGAACTTCACATCATGTGGCCCATTTCCACTCATCTCTCCCTCCCCTTATATCTGCCCTCCACCCTTGCAATCTCTCCTGTAACAGATAAAAAAAAAATCTCATTATGGAAGCTGTAGTGTGTCACAGTGTGTCCCACTCCACAACCAGGGCCTGCTCTAGACTGCTGCCCAGGTGAGGTGCAGCACCCACTCTCTAGAGTGCTGCAGCAGGTGGGGAGCAGGGACATTTTTTCTGCACTCATGACCTAGGGCCAGCTCTCCTGTCTACCATAGATGGCAAGGAGTGAGGGGAAGGGAGGATGTCTCTCCCTTGCCTGTTCTGGCACATGGCAAATGAGAGGCAGTGCCAGCTCTCCCTCGCCACCCACCATCAGGGTCAGTTCGACTGTGCTGCCCAGGTGAGGTACAGAGCCTGGTCCCCTGAGTGCTGAAGCATGTGAGGGGCAGTGCCAGCTCTCCTGCTCTCACGACCCCATCAGGGCCAACTCTCCAGCCTGTGGCAAGGGCAAAAGGGAAGGGAGTAGGATCTCTTCCTTACCAATGCCACCTCACAGCAGACAAGAGGCAGAGTTGGCTCTCCCATGCTCATGCTCTCTGGGCCAACTCATGCATAACCCCTACACCCCGGGTTAGCTCTAATAACGCCTACACCCCAGGTTAGCTCTTCTGTGCTGCTCAGGTGAGGTACAGGGTCTAGTAGTCCAAATATGAGGCTGGTGAAGGGCAGGATCAGCTCTCTTGCTCTCATGATCTCAGGGCCAGGACTCCTAACTGCTTCAGGTGTGCTCATATGCGTGCGCACCTGTGTGTGTTTGTGTAGGCGGTATCTCTCCTTCAGTCACACTACCACAGGGAGATGAGTGATAGGGCCAGCTTTCCTACATGTGCGTCTTTGGGGAGGCTCACCCACAGCTCCCACAATATAAGTAGCCTATCTCCTAAATACTGCAGCTGGTTAGGGGCTGGGTCAGCTATCAGGGCCAGCTCTCCTATGATACCCATATGAGGGATGGGGCCAGTTCTGCACAGCTCTCAGACATCAGCATGTCTCTCATAGCAGTTCAGACCAAGGACATCCATGTGGCCTTTGGCAGTAACAGACCCTTGCTGCTGCAGGCCACAGACCCAGACATGGCCCCCAGTGTTAGCACAGGCAATGACTCCACTTTAGTCCCAGGTGGCATCACCAGCTACTCACGTCAGGCTGTTCCTCACTACCCTCAAGTATCCATTTCTGTCTCTCTTCTTTGTCCTCACATCATTCTGTTTCTCTTTCTCTTCAATTTCTCCATCACTTACTTGCTCCTTTTGGAGATACCTGGAGTCTCTGAGTGTCTGGAGTCACTTTGAGAGTGATCTCAGGAGTACTATGTCCCACACATGCATTATGGCACTGGGAATGGGTCAACTTGAGCATGGTCTGCCTCCCCATGGCCTGGGAGGTACTGGACTGGTGTTCATCTTAAGGTAGCTCCCTGTCCTAGCCCCACAGTGCCAGTGTGGTGGGTGTCTCAGGCTCACTCATCTTCCAGTCCAACTGAGAGGCCATCAATCTTGACTTTACATTTGTCATGAGTCTTCAGTCTCAGGTGGGGTTCTTCTAGTCTCAGGCTTGCTTTCTGTCCTGGAAACCTGACCAGGCTTATCTTGTACCAGAGTAGTGGTTGTCTCAGGCTAGCTCCCTGCCTGGGTACCCTGGCACCAGACTGATGGTGGTTTCTGGTTCAATATTTTCAGGGAATGTTAAGCTACTTATCTTTCAGATGTCCTTAGGTCAGGATGCTAAGCATAGATATAGCCTCTCTCTTCTCTGCTACTTACTGACAGACATGTGACACAGTAGCCACTCTTGCAAAGCCTCTAGGGATAGACAGAGAGCTTTTTGAGATGGATTTTCTTAAAAGTATCCACTAAGAAATTTAAATCCCATGGTCTTACCGAAAATGTCACACACACACACACACACACACATATACACACACACACACGTATATATACTCACACATATATGATTTATGTTATTTATACACATTAAGAGTAAAGTGTTTCTTTTATTTTACTTTATTTTAGTTGTATTGTCCTATAAAGCACATGTTGATTGGAAGAGTGAATGTCATGAGTTAAATAATATTAAACAAGCACTTAAAATGAACTTTGTGGGGCTGGAGAGATGGCTTAGCAGTTAAGAACACTTACGCTTTTGCAGAAAATCTGGGTTTAGTTTCAGCATCCACACATCTGAACTCCAGTTCCAGGGGATCTGTACCCTCTTTTGGTCTCCATGGCACCACAGAGGGAAGAAGTGGACATACATACCTGCAGATAAAACACCCATGCACATAAATAAACATAAACAAATCGTTAAAGTGAGCTCTGTCTATGATTTTAATGATTTATGATGCAGCAAAGATTGTCACCCACCTTCCCACATTCATCCATTCTCTCCTTTTAAAAGTATCTGATGGTAAATATGTATCAAAGCACATATCCATTTGGTTGAAGAACCAGTGCAATATCCTTCAGTGGTCTGAGCCCAGTGACAGGGAACTGAGTAACTCCATGTCTTTGCCTCAATTTGGCCACCTGATCATATAGCCAGTGAATTACAAGCCATGTGTGTGAGAGATGAATGTCTCCATTAACCTCCCTGAGCTTGAAAAGTGTAGTACACAGAGGTACTGATACAAATCCTATTTCTACTACATTTTAAATTATTAATCATTAGTTATATGTGAATTTATGTTCTCAAGCTCTACTTCTTACACATGGTTTTCAGGATTTCTCACTTCTCCCTTTGTATTCACAACATAATTATGGTGAGTCCCTTTAAATGCTTGCATAGATGTGCTGACAAGAAATGAAACAACATTGACTGTTTAATGTTTGCTACAAAACATGGTTACTGCAGAAGTCTATTAACTTCTTCTTTATGATTTAGTACCAGTATATTTTGAATTTGGAATAAAGAGGATTCTCAATTAGGAAGATATCATTCAACACTGGAATAATCAGGAGGTAGTGGGAAAAAGTAAGACAGAGAGAAAATAAGATTTAATAAAGTAAAGATGACAGAAATCACTTTTTTTTCGATTCATTCAGAGTTAAAAGATGAGAAGAGACAGAAGGATGTTATGAGAATTCAGTTTGGGTGACTATTGATTGTCTGGGAAAAGAAAGGTCTCAAGGTCAGACTACCTGTCAGAAGAAAACCTCAAACATAGGCCTTGGGAGAAAAAGTTTCAGCCAGCCATGCTGGTGATGATTTGGACTGGGCAATCATCCACTGATGCAGGAAACCTGGAAGACTTGTCACCTACAGGCTTGGCATGAGAACCATCAATCACTGGGCTTAAAAACTCAGCGTAAGAAGTGACATCTGGAATTGGGCTTTCTTAAGTTTTTGTGTATGTTTGCTAGGAAATTGATTGCACAGCCTTTAATAGTGGCAACCAGCAGAATGACTCACAATGAAGTATGAAATTGGGCAATAAAATTGTAGAACTCTTAGAGATTTGAAATGAAATAACAAAACATACAAAAACAAGGACAGAGGTTGGTTGCCTTGTAAAGTTGGATCAAGTGAAACCGTTTTACAGGATTCAGAGTTTTGCTTAATTTAAGATTATATAAACTCACAAATCTCTCTCCCAAGACATGAATTATGCAAAATAAAAATCGTTAAATATGCTGAATGGAGCATTCACACAGCAGACACAGTTAGTGTGTAAGGAAAGCTATTCTTCTCTGCCTCCTCTGTAGCCAGATCCACAGTTTAGTCAGAGAGCCCAAGTGCTCTGCCCCAGGACTGAGCTAGACTCTGTGTGAGTTAGGCACACAGTCTTTAGTTATGTTTTCATTTCCCAGCAGCCTTTGCAGGTAGTTGGTCATGTGACTTACTTCTGAATGGTAACCTTGCTTGATAGAATTTGTAAAAGATTTTCCTGATCTAATGAAATTGCAAAGAGAAAAGGACACCCTCCCCTCCTTTACTCTTCTCTGCTTGGAATCATGTGGAGATGGGCTGATTGGTTTGTGATCTTGAGGTGACACAGTAGAAAATAGAGCTAATGTAGGAAAACTGATGGAGCACAACTACTTAAAAGCCTCCTTTTTTAAAAAGCATGTCTTTTTTTGGGGATATTTATTCACTTTCTAAATCAGTGCTTGAGGATTATGAACAAGACACAATATGTCCTAGGTTGCATGGGGGAATAGAACATGAGACATCCCGACTAGAGAAGTAGAAAGCTTCTTTTTGACATCAGGGCAAGGCTTTTGGTGCTGACTTGCTTCCAGCAAGATAACAGAAGTATTAAGTGTGCTCCTCTGAGGCCTCTTGACTGAGGATTTATGTTGAGGCACCCTTTGGTCATCTTTTGACACTAAACATAAACACATTCTTGAGGAAAAGGAAGAGACTAAGAATAACAAACATGTCTCCCTGAGCTATTTTACTTCCACAGTCCACTCACATCAATCCCCACCTAGCTCCCACCCACTACTGCTAGTTTAGTAGCAAATGAATGGACAAAGAAATCAAACTACTTTAACTAATTCAATCTCACCAGTCTTTCAACACATTATTAGTCTTTGTAATCCTGCCCTGTTAAAATGCCCTCTTGGTTGAAGCCTTTCAGAACAGGGCTGACTGTTCACTTTAGCGCAAAGCATTCTGATGAATACCAACAGAAACTCAAGCTAGATTCTAAAAGCCTCAACTTATATATTAATAACAACATTCATATGAAAATCTTCTCAAATGAATAGAATTCTAAATGATGTACATACAAGGGATATAAAGAAGATGAACTCAACTTTAGTCAAGGCTAGGCAGTGGAGGTGATAGAACTTCTTTACACCATCAAGACAATTGGAAGATTCAATTTTAAAACTTGCCTCCAGTATTTATTAGTTGACTGTTGGCTACTACATTAGCTGTGTGACCTACAGATGACTTATATTGGTAAAAACTGAACAATAATATCACCTCCATGGAGTTCTTGTGAGATAATCTCAGGTATCAAGTACTCAGACACTACACATCAAGGTTGTGGTCAATATCAACACATACAACTATGGTCCGAGATGACTGTAATGGTGGAAAATTCCTGTCGCCTAAGGACATTGTAGTTATGGTAATTTGTTGCTCAACATGCTAACCCTCCTCTCCCAGATAATGGTTTTTTGAAGTTGCCTAAGTTGGTTTTCAACTTGTGATCCTACTGTTCTGTCTACAGCTGATTCATTACTTCCATATTTGTGGTGATTCTGGTGTAAAAAAACCCTACCCCATTACTAGTTGTATAAAAGCACGATTCATACAGGTATATAAAGAAAATAATGCTTGGTTATGAGAATAAGTTACTATATTATTACTTTATGTATTTGTCACTTTGTATTTGTACCACCAGTTTAGACAGTACTTTTATTGATGAAAACCAGTGTGCTATGAATCTATTCTGTTCTGTCAGGAGCCTCATATCCTGTGTTTGCTATATTGTCTTAGTTCTATTGCTGTGATAAAACACTTTAACTAGAAACAACTTGGGGAGGAAAGGATTTATTTTGCTCCCACATCACAGTCTACCATTAATGGAAGTCAGAGCAAGAACTCAAGGCAGGAATCTGGAGGCAAGGAATGGAAAGAAATGAAAACCATGGAGGACTGCTGTTTACTGGCTTGCTCGTCATGACTTATTTGAACTGATATTTTCTACAGCCCAGGAACACCTCCCCAGGCATGGTAGTACCCACTGTGGGCTAGATCTACCCACATCACTTATTAATTAAGGAAATGTACTACAGACATGCTTAGAGGTAATCTGATAGAGATAAATTTCTCAACTGAAGTTCCTCCTCCTGGATAAACCTAGCTTGTGTCAAGTTGACAGAAAACCAACCAACAAGGATATATATATATATATATATATATATATATATATATATATGAATGACTGACTTTATAACATCTTAGTGAGTGGAAACATACTAACATACTATATGATGGTCACACAAGATGAATTGTCTAGTGGCACTTTTATCAAAATATGCCCCAACTGTTATGTGTGATTGCATTAAACATATGGATAATGGGTTGTTTTCAATTTGTGACAAATGCAGAACACTTTTTGGGTCTTTTGTAAGTCACTTGAACATATTTCAACTTAGTTTCAGAAAAAAAGGATTCAGACTACTTATTTTTTTCTTGCTCTGGATTTACATTTATGCTTCCAAGATGTAGAATAATTTCAGTAAACAGGGAAATAAAAGGGTAGAAAAATGTGAGAATGCAAAAGCCAAAGAGTAGTCCGTTAAGCAGAAAGAGGGCTTTGGGCCAATTTCCTGATCACCACAGAGTGATCACATCCTCACAAGATACCCAAGAGCAAAGGATTGGCCGAGGCTCTCAGTTTGTGCTTGGAAACACTAGGATTTTTCTCCTCTTGCTTGTGTGTATACGTATCACAGTCTCACCTAAGGCAGAGTGGGGACATGAGATGAAATTTTAATTCTCTCTTCTAGGTCAGGGTACTAAGTGTGAAGCCATGGTGCATGCTATCCTGACTTTCTATAATGGAGATTTAGCTAGGTGTAAATGGAACTATGGGAATCATGGAGAAACTTAAGAGACAAGGTAAACTTTATGATTCTTTTGATGAGGATGTGGTTGAAGTATAAGAGGAGAATAGTAAAAAAGGAGAGAGTAGTATTACATCCTCAAAGGTGGGAGGCTGAATGATCAAGAGAAGTGGGGGAACATTAGTGAATATTTTCAGAATAGTATAAATGATGGTAAAGGGTAAATTTCATTTCAAATTCTAAAAGCATACATTTTCTCATGATTAAAATTTATTTTTCCAAAACTTCTAAT